CATATTCCTTATTTAACAATTGTAATGATTCACTTAACAACGGTGGCAAGAAAGGTCATAAAAAGGGGCAAAATTCACTTAACAAATGTCTCACTAAGCAACAAAAATGTTGGGCTCAATTGTGGTCATAAGTCGAGGACTATCTGTATTCTAGGATCCAGGCCTCTTAAGAAGATCCAGACCGATGTTTCTTTCAAGGCTCTTGATATCTCTTTTTTGTAATCATTAGTCAGCCTTAACAAAGCAATTGCTGGGTTAGAATGAATGAGCTGGAAGGGACCTTGAAGGTCTTCTAGTCCAGCCCCCTGCTTAAGCAGGAGAACCCCATACTATTTCAGATAAGTGACTGTCTAGACCAGAGGTGGTATTCAGCAGGTTCTGGAGAACTGGTAGCGGAAATTTTGAGTAGTTCAGAGAACCAGTAAATACCACCTCTGACTGGCCCTGCTCCCATCTATTCTCTGCCTCCTGAGTCCCAGCTGATCAGGGAGGAAATGGGGATTTTTCAGTATCCTTCCCCATCCACGCCCACCAAGTCATATCCATCAAGCCACGCCCACAGAACCGGTAGTAAAAGAAATTGAATCCCACCACTGGTCTAGACTCTTCTTAAAAACATCCAGTGATGGGCCGCCCACGATTAGTTTCCAACCATTGTTTCTTGTCCTGCCCTCTGGTGCTTTGGAGAATAATTTGACCCCCTCTTCTTTGTGGCAGCCCCTCAAGTACTAGAATACTGCTATCACGTCACCCCTAATTCTTCTATGAAGCAGCTCAGTTTTCTTGATAATACTTTTTAAAATATATTTTTCCAAAACATGTACCACATTTATTGTGATTGGAGAATTCCAACTTCAGTGTAATTAAGCAATGTTTTCTTAAATAAACAACTCAAAGTATCTTTCTTCCAAGAGAGTTCAGCTGCGCAAGGCTTTTATCAGATCCAGCATGGAGTTAAACAGTTTAAAAAACAGGACTTACCATAGGATTTATTTCTTACTTTCAAGAGAATGCTACTGGTTGGCGTTGTTTTGATCCGCTTCTTTTGCAAATGCTCTCTATTCCTGTTTACTGACTTCTTGTATTGTGTAGTAAAAGCTGTGTTTATCTGAGTTCTCATCAGCCAATTTGAAGGCATCACTTTGGGATTCACAGTGGTGGAAGTACTCATCAAGTAATTGTTAAATATCTTCAGAGAAGGAGTAGGATGTCTATCAGTAGAGGCTAAAATCAGGGCATGATGGGATTTGGTTTCCATAGTAGACTTGGAGGGGCTTGCCTCAATTCCTTCAGATACAGTTATTTGCACAGCAGTGTTGCCATTCTCCGCTGTAGACACTTGATTGTTCATCTGCTCTCGTTTATATATTTTGGTCTGTTCCAAGTGTTGTGGAGGTTCCGTTAAATCTGCCTTTTTCTTGGAAACCTCAGAATTAGGAAGCAGCATTTGAAGCATTTGTTTCTGCATCTTTGGTGGGATACTTTTAAGAGATTGGACTGGAATTCTCTGTTCTTCCAACAGAAAAGTAATAGCATTCGTGATTTCCCCTTCACTACTTCTCACATGTGTTGTCACCCATCGTGTGGTTGTAGAACCATCATTCTGAGGACCGTCAAAATCAGTCAAAGCGCCATGATTTTTTGTTGCTTCCAATGATGTTGTCATCATTTGAGGATTATGAGACGTGGGTGGAGAAGTTGAATAAACATCTGGCTGGTGTGAAAAATCTTCTTCCTCATTCTTTGCATCATTGGACTCTGATCCTAGTGTAGGGCTTTCGTTCAAAGTCCTACCATTGTCAACAGATGGTTTTGTAACTTGTCTTCTCTTCAAATCAAATGGATTCAAGCTAACCGTTTTTGTTGATTTCAAGAGAGAAACATGCATATGCTTGCCAACAGCTGGTTTTAAAAATGTTTTTGTCCCAGTTTTAATAGTCTTTTCATTTGTCTCAGACAGCCAATTCTCTATGCCAAGCGTTGGGGTAGTTGCTGTAGAGTTCAAACTGTGTCTTGTATGCAATACATATGACTTAGATCTACAACTGCTGTTAGATTTCAAAACTGATTTTTCACCACTTGTAGAATTTACATGATCTTCAAATATATAATACCGTCCTTTAAAGTGCTTATGACTTTGGTTCTGAGAAGAAACTTCTGACAAAAATACTACATAGACTGCTACTGCTTGAGTAGCAAAAATCAGAGTACCATGGTTTCTGCAAGCATAAACTACTTTGTTTTCAATACTTGACAAAACTCCTTGGAATAAGATCCTATCCTGATTGTCATCACAGTTTGACTTTCCTTCAAACCCTTCTATGTAAATCAGGATATGCTTGTGAGAACCAGCCCATATGGTCCAGTTGCACCAGTTATTGGTTTCAGACCTGTTTAATGATGGAGGAGAAAAAGTCCCAGTTTTATCTTTCAAAATAACATGGCAACTTTTTACAGGAAGATACACCGACAACCAAGGAATTCCCAGTTCTGTAGTAGGAAACATAAAGACATAGTATTACCATCGTTTTATTGATCAAGTAGTAGAAGATATAGGCTAGTCTTGTTGGAATATTTCACACCTAGGAGTAGCAATCTTGACAAGGGTTATTGAATTTATCTCATTTCATTTTGCAAATATTATTTCCCCATGACTGTTAGAACTAGAGAAATAAATTAGTCAGACTCTCATTGGCATTTAGATTAAATGCTTTGGCTTTCCTCTAGGAACCTAAAGTGATTGTATATACACCCCACTCCTTCCTCCACTTGAGTAGAAGTTCCCTTGTTCAAAACAAGACAAACATCAGGGAAAACCATAACATTTAAGACAAGACACAACCTTTAAACTCAGCGTGAAAAAGGTGCATGTTATCTGGAAAATAATGATCTGACAACTTCTTTTAGGTAGGAGAAGTTATCCAGGCAGTTTTTAAGAGGATACAAACTGGTAGAAAAAGGGCTAGACTAATACTGTACAATCTCTTATTTTTTCCATTTTCTTTGTGAATTGCCCCGTAACTTTTGGATTCTTCTCAATTTGGGGGGTATTTTACTCATTCTCAAAGAGTGGCTATAAAAAGCTGAAATCTATCTAATTGTTCAACTTTGCCAGCAACATTTTGGAAGGAATAATGGTAAAGCAAAGTTGATATTTGAAAGCAATGTTTTAAACTCGGTGGCAGAAAGGTGATAATCCCTGTTTCTTAAACTACAATGCAGCTAGATACTAGGCACAACACAGCAGTACACCAATAATCAAAGGGTAGGAAATATGGAAAGAATGAATCCTCAGAAGGTATACAGATAGACATCAATAGAAAATTCTGTTACTGAAAACTAGTATGACAAATATTTCAAGCAAACAATAAGAAGGTTCATTTCCAGCCTAACCTATTTCAATACCACAGCAATGCTATATGTATTTGGTCAAATGTATTTTCCAATTGTGTTCATTGGGGCTTAATCCCTTGGTTAGTCTCAAATTAGAGGGGAGGCCCCCAATTTGAGCCACATCTGCACCATTAACCTCAACTCAGTCATATCCTTGAAGTATATTTGAACTGGATTGTCTTTGTGGATCAGTGTGCCCATTCTTGAAGCCAATACTTCTGCAAGCAACACAGTTCTCTGTTTTACCAACTCTCAAGAGGATGGGCCACTACTGGTTTGATTATCCTTAACTCTTAAATATAGCATCATGGAACTGCCCTCAATTCAATCACCTTATCTTTTTAAATGGCATCAATTGAATCACCTTTGTGCTACAATGCTGAATTGATTTCACATAACTGCAGTGGCTTCACATTGTGCCTGGACTTTCTATTCTAAACATACATTTAGTGACAGTGTGCAATATAGACAGAGTCCTGGGCTAATTCTGTTCTACCTTTTTCATTCCCATTGCTAAGCACTTGAAGACCAGTAAATAATTATAATAAGCAACTGAATTATACATTACATCAGGGGTGGGTTTCAGGCGGTTCGCGGCGGTCCCCGCGAACCGGTTGGTCGGCGAA